CTCGTCTCCTCACCTAAGGCGGGAGCTCATAAACGCGTCGTACCGTCCGTGGATGATACAAGAACACATGAAGCAGCTACTAAAACAGGGGAAAACGAACTTAAAGGCACTTATTAACTGACCCTATGTGTTAGTATGTGCTTTTCAACTTACATGTACGATGTTACCGCTGCAAAGAAAGGCACACGAAAACAACAACAGTTTAACCGTAGCTGCTTAAAACCGCAGAAAGTCTACGGTAAATATTAACCCATCGAAAGTAAACACCATCCACAGTCAAGCTAAAAATTGAGTGCAACCAATGGCAGAAATTTTTGGATAAAGAGGACTTCTGCTCACCTGAATGAGAAGACACCTGATTTAGACTGCAGATGGAGTTGACCATGCCGATGGGGGAAGCTCACAACCGCTCCCACCTCGTTCCTGCTTCAAGTCCCTCATCGTCGGGGGTCACCAATTGTTATGTTATTCAAAGGTCTGAAGCAGGCTCTGAAACAAATGTGCACAGTATTATTGCAGGTTTATTGTACAGATAAGTGGAAATCACTAACTCACATGATGTCTGCCCATTTCACCTGAACCCCCTGTTTACAGAGCACATCACACTTTTCTTCAGAAACTGGTCATACCCCTTTGTGTCGTTATCTCCGCTCATAGGACAGCCTACTCTTACCACGTGATCAGCCTCTCAGCCAATAATACTTCCATCCTCTTTGTGAACAATAAGTGTCAGGATTGTTGCGGAGTGCAGGTGTGTAGCTAAAACTCTTTCCTACCAGAAACAAAAACCTGGAAATAAAGGTTCTTTATCGGTTTAATATGCATTTATACTGCAGACTGTAGGTGTACACAACTTTCAGTAACATACATGTAGGCCTCCACCCCATTTAACGATGGACGGTTTCTTTTCACAAAGATGGCCTCCTTTACTCCTCTCTCAAACCATCGTTCCTCTCTGTCCAGGATGTGAACATCTTCATCCCTGAAAGAGTGACCGCTGGCCTGGAGATGAGTGTAGACTTGGCCTGATGATGTTGATCTTCTGTGCTGGGCCATCCTTTTGGCCAGTGGCTGTTTAGTTTCCCCGATGTAAGACTGATCACAGCCCTCCTGACACTGAACAGCATACACAACATTACTCTGTTTGTGCCGGGGGACTGGATCTTTGGGATGAACCAGTCTTTGCCGTAATGTATTTTGGGGTTTAAAAGCCACTGGGACGTTATGTTTAGAAAATAAACATCTCAGTTTCTCTGATACTCCCTCAACATATGGAATGACCACTGGTCTGGGTCTGGGTTCCTCCTTTTCACCAGTTGGCTGACTGGAGTCCTGTTTGGGTTTCTTCTCTGCTTTCAGGAAGGCCCAGTTAGGATATCCACATTGCTCTAGAGCCTGTCTTGTGTGGGATTTCTCCTTCTGCCTGGCTCCTGAGCTAGTGGGGACGCTGTCTGCTCTGTGATACAGAGTCCTGATGACTCCTAACTTTAAGAGACTGAGCTGAATACAGCACCTCAGACTGAGGAAGTCTCTCGGATGAGAGACAAAACGTTTCTACATTTTTTTGTTGTTTTGCTTTGTTTTGTTTTTTTGAATGTCCAGAGGACCAGATTTAACTTTTTTAAATCCTAAGAAACTGGCTGCAGATGCCGTTTGATCAGTCCACCCAGACTTGGCTGGTCTCTCAGTTCCCCCGGGCTGTAGGACCGCCCGAATGCTGGGTACAACTCCTCCCAGAGCGATGGCCACTCCTCCCAGCAGTCTGCCGAGCTCCTTGTCGCTGCGGACAGCCAACTGTAGGTGCCGAGGGACGATCCTGTCCTTCCGCTGTCATGAGCCGTGTTTCCTGCTAGTTCCAGGATCTCAGTGGTCAGGCACTCGGGCACAGCTGGCAGGTAGATTAGAATGCGTCCACAGAACAAACTTTTCAACTCATTTGAGATTTGGGGCTGTAGTTAAGATATTATTTGAGCTTTTGAGATGTTAATCAGCTGCTGTTGGTTGTAGAAAAACTGCCTTGTTGCCATGGTTACGTATCATAACGAATGTCCAAAACTAAAAAAAGTTTCTGTAAAAATCCTTCCATCTGCACAGTATCTGATACCAGAGGAAACAGTCATCCAAAAATTGTGATTTACATCCAGAAAAAGAGGAATTAAAGTTTCCAAAAGCAAAATCGCATAACGAAAGTAACAGAGCTGCTCCAACATGCAGCCACCTTGAGCGGCGCAATTCTAGAATAGAACATTTTATAAGCTTTTTATATGATTGTCTATTTTTGTTTGTACCTCATTTGTGTTCTTTGTTTAAAACAGGTCTGTTTTGTAAATGAGTCCTCGTGGCTCAATGAAACAAACGTCTATAAATAAAGGTTGAATGAATGGAACCAAAATTTAGAATGGAAAAAGCAGATAAATCTTAAACATAGTAAATGCAAATCAAAAATTCCAAATAGCCACCAAGTGGCAGGCCCTATCAACGTTTCTCCTGGAATTTTTATAGTTCAATCAGTCTGTCAGAGTACCAGTGTATAGTCCAGAGGACCAGATTGAACTTTTTTGGATTTTTCTACCTGGATTATTGAGCATGCATCAGGATATAGTTCAATCAGTTTTTCTAGTTACAGCTGCTACTGTTATGTATATTTATTTGGTGTTTCCCCTACCACTGTATAAGCAGGGCGCCCCCCCCCCCCCCAACAAAACCGAGTGCCCTGTCTATTGAATCTCTACCCCCCCGACTCCCGTTGACAACTGCTGGCACTAATGTAGCGCTAAGCTCGTGACGCACAATACAGATACTAGCTAAACAGCTACAGCGTTCAGTTTCCCTCACGTTGGGCCATCTACATCCCCCGCCTTCCCACTCGAAAACTGTTGGTACAAACGGTGTACACAACACAGACATGTCTTCGTCTCTCCGACCCCCATCAACAAAAATTATGGAAGATATGAACACCCTGCCAAGTCAAGTAAACTAGGGGAAACACTGATATTAATAATTACTTTTTATAATCATTACTTTTGTGGAGTGACATGGTGAAGCAGTTGGTAGAGCTGTAACCTCTCAGCAACAAGGCAGGATTGAATTCCAACCTGAGACCCTTCTGGGTGGAGTGTGCATGTGTGGGTTTTCTCGGAGTACTCTGGTTTTCTCCCACAGACCAAAAACATGCATGCTAGGCTAACTAGTAACTCAAAATTGTCTAGGTGTGAGTGAGAGTGTGTCCCTGTGATGGAATGGAGACCTGACCAGGGTTTCCCCCACCTCTCACACAGTGACTGCTGGATATGGGCACCAGCAAACCCTGTATCCCATATAGGAACAAGTGGGTAAAGATGGATGGATGGATTACTGGTTGGCTGGCTGGCTTACTATTGTTTTGAGTCACATCAGCCCTGATGTTTAAAAAAAAATGTCTTTTATGGTTTTAAAGTTTTCCTATAAGCTTTTTGATTTTGTTTTTTAACTCACACTTATATGTTAATACTATTCATGTCTCTGTTTTTAGTCCTACAAGATTATCAACTTTGCTCCCACCCTTCTTCAAATTGTTGTGACAGAGCTGGTGGAATTTCCTGTACGCCAAGCAGGTAAGATTCAACTCAGTTCATTTATATAGCACCAATTCACAACTCAAGTCATCCCAAGGCACTATGCAAAGGAAACAAGAAAACAAGTCCAAATTGTAACTGCAGTTCTGTTTAAAATACCATAATACAAGCAGGGCGTCCCGTCCTATTAACAGAACTGAGTGCCCTGCCTACCGAAACAAACTGCTCACCGCCTGCCCCTGTTGGCACTGACGTAGCACTAAGCTAGTAGCGCACAATACAGGCACGTTAGCTAAAAAGCTAAAGGCAGTGCTCACACTGCCTCTTCCCTCATGCTGGACCCCGACTGTTCTGCTTGAAAACAGTCAGTACAAACAGCGTACAGCTCAGACGTGTCTCCGTATCTCTCTTCCCCATTGACAGAAATCACAGACGGGATGAGTGCCCCTCCATGGCAAGTTATTTAGGGGAAACAATGAAATAGATTCAGATTCTAATCAAATTAGGGCTGAGTACCTTTCTAAAAAAATCGGTATCGGTACCGGTGTCAGTACCTTCACTTCGGTGTCGGTTCCTGGACGGTTTTTTTTTCGGTACCAATTTTGTAATTACTATTAATTCTAACAAGAATAAAATTACGTTACACATTACAGTACAAATTGTGAGTTTTATTTTTTAACTTTGGTATTTTTCTATTCCAAGCAGTTTTTTAAAATAAAAACAAACAAATAATTTCCAGGTCAAAAGACCAGTTACAAACCAGTGACACGTCAGTGTCTAATGTTCACTGCTACACACTGAGGACCTTTTCACTGAACAGTTTTTCTTCAGAAACATCAACATGTCTGTTTTCTGTGGACACAAACAAGCTGCTCCTGGCTGATGGTGTCTCCAGCAGTAGAAAATGTTCACTCCGAGGCTGTAGATGATGATTGTTGCATACACAGATACCTGGTTGTCAGTTTGATATATTGTCCCTCACATTCCACCAGCAGGTCACTGGATTCAATGAGGTAGAGTTGATGCAGACATCTGCACCTCTGTGTCTCTGCCTGAATCTTCTCTGCGGTTCTCTGGGGTTTAGGGCTCTGATCATCTCCCTAATTGACATGAGAACAAAACATCAACAATAACATGGTTGTGCTATTATTACTCAAAAAACATTATCTAGGCTGATAGATAAAGGTTTAACTGGTCAACAAAATCCTTTAAAGTTTAATTTACCTCTACCGTGCAGCTCCACTGTAGAAAAAGCAGCAAATTTTTAACAACAAAGTGATTGTCCTGTGGCCTCCATCTCACTTTTCTTTTGTCCTCACATCAGGGTCAGAACCTCCTTTGAGGAGAACATGAACATAAACAGTGAACATTAGTGAACTGTTTAAGCAGCTGCTTCAATGGATGAGCACATTTTTACAAGCTAAGATTTATGTTACTGTCAATCTTTAGTTAGCTTCTGAGTTTAGCTAGCTACGTAGATAAAATAAATTTACACACTAATATCTTAAAGTTAGCGTTACATGGATCATATCCTTATGCATGCCCAATAATCCAGGTAGAAAAATCTAAAAAGTTAAATCTGGTCCTCTGGACATTCAAAAAAACAAAACAAAGCAAATCAACAAAAAAATGTAGAAATGTTTTGTCTCTCATCCGAGAGACTTCCTCAGTCTGAGCAGCTGTATTCAGCTCGGTCTCTTAAACAGCACCGTCTCAGAGTGGATCTACCAGTTTTGCTGCTGACAACCAAAACCAGCTGATCACATGCTCAAGAAGGACCATCAGCCTAACAATGGATCATTAGCACACTGATGACTGTTTAATGTTCACAGAGGGCTGAGTGATACTAGCAATCACAGCATTGTAAGAGGGGGACAGTTGAACCCGGAGGCCTCCACCCCTGTTTAACGATGGACGATTTCTTTTCACAAAGATGGCCTCCTTTACTCCTCTCTCAAACCATCGTTCCTCTCTGTCCAGGATGTGAACATCTTCATCCCTGAAAGAGTGACAGCTGGCCTGGAGATGAGTGTAGACCGCAGAGTCCTGGCCTGATGATGTTGATCTTCTGTGCTGGGCCATCCTTTTGGCCAGTGGCTGTTTAGTTTCCCCGATGTAAGACTGATCACAGCCCTCCTGACACTGAACAGCATGCACAACATTGCTCTGTTTGTGCTGGGGGACTGGATCTTTGGGATGAACCAGTCTTTGCCGTAATGTATTTTGGGGTTTAAAAGCCACTGGGACGTTATGTTTAGAAAATAAACGTTGGTTACGTACTGTAACCCCAGATTCTATGAATATAGGCGTAGCCCTTTAAGGCTGTCGCTGATGGGTTTATCCCGTTATGCGCAAGCATCATACTGAAAAAAATTAGTCCACGCCCACCTGCTGTGTGGGCCCCACCTGATCCGTATAAATTACATTAAGAGCAGGTAATCTGCTCCCAAATAGCTTATTTTTTCTTCAGCTATTCAGGAGCCAGTGAGGCCCGACGCTTAAAGGGCTACGCCTATATTCATAGAATCTGGGGTTACAGTATGTAACCAACGTTCTATGTCATATAGGCTTCGCCCTTTAAGGCTGTCTCTGATGGGTTAAGGGCGAAGCGGATGTGGTCCTCGCCTCACTGGGTCCATTCGAACACAGTAAGAAGCGGAAGCTTGCCCAAAAACGTCTTGTCACTCAGCTCCCCGTGTGCATAACTACGCATCGCGTAATTGTGTGCCATGCACAGACGCATGTTGTGTAACTATGCGTTCTGACAAAGCATGAACGCCCCGGAAAAACTTTCAACGGGGAGAAGATGTTGAAAAGAGGTGGGGGGGGGGGGGCATGAACCAACTGGTTCATGGCTGAGCAGTATAAACAGATTAATATCAATGAACTGATTATTGATCAAATGAACTGATTGGTAACAATAGTCATGAACTGATTAGTGACAATAGAACCAAAATCACAGACACAACTTGTGACTGATAACAACATCTCACACTGTGAAGCATGCAGACAGATGTGAGCTTAAACAGAGTTCCATGAAAAACAACAATATTCATTCTGTTAGAGCACTAAGGACAGAATGTGTCATGGAACGAGCCGTCACATCACGTAGGTAAAAGCGAATAAATGAGCAGTGTGTTGACCATGCAGCCGCAGTGCAAATGTCCTGCATTGACATACCATTATGCAGAGCAGTCGAAGATGCGATACCCCCTGGTGGAGTGTGCTTTGAGGTTGACAGGAGGCTCTAAATCTGATGCTCTGTAGGCTTCAGAAATGGCCTCACACAGCCAGTGTGACAAGCGCTGGGTGGATAACGGGCGACCTGCAGATGCATCTCTATAATGCACAAACAATTGTTGAGTTTGACGCATTGCAGCTGTGCGCGCTATGTAACACGTCAACGCCCGCACCGGACAGAGAAGATGAAAAGATGCTTCTTCTTCTGATCTGGGGGGGGGGAACTCCTCCAACGATATCACTCTTGATTTAAAAGAGCTCGTGATGTTTTTAGGCATAAAAGCTGGGTTTGGTCTTAAATCAGCTGAACTACCGTCAGCCTGGATTCTGAGACATGACGGAGCGGCAGAGAGGGCAGATAAATCACTCACCCTCTTAGCGGATGTTAAAGCCAGCAGCAGGGCTGTTTTAAGAGACAAGAATTTAAGTGAAACCTGATCCAAAGGCTCAAATGGGGCTTTGATCAGGGCTCGCAGGACCAGCGTTAAATCCCACTGTGGAACAAGTGGGCGTGAAACCGGCCTATGTCTTTGTACACCTTTTAGAAACCGCTTCATCGGCGGGTGATTAAAAGCTGTTCTGTCTCCGAACCCTTCGTGGCAGGAAGAGATGGCTGCAGCGTACGTTTTAATCGTGCTGAATGCCAACTTCCTATCCATCAGCTGTTGAAGAAAAGACAACACGCCGCCTAATGGACATGAGGTGGCCTCTAAACCTTTCTCTGTACACCAGCGCTGAAAAGCCGTCCTCTTTGATGTGTACAGAGCTGTGGTAGATGCAGCGCGTGAATCTTGAATTGTGCACACTACCTCCTGAGGGAGACCCATCCTCTCTAAGCGGGACCGCTCAGTGGCCAGACCCACAGGTGCTGACCTATTTCGGGGTAACTCCTGATCGCTCGTCCTGCTTGAAGGAGAGCATCCTCCCTCCACGGCAGTTTCCACGGACGACCCGACAACAGACGTTGCAGGACTGGGAACCATGGTGCGTTCACGCGCTCGGGAGCTACCAGGAGAGCTGTCAATCCCTCCTCCTGAACTCGGTTCAGGAACCGTAAAATCAGAGGAGGTGGGGAGAACGCGTACAGAAGCGTTTTGGGCCACGGGCTGTGAGCAAATGCATCCACCCCCAGCGGTGGATCATCTCGCGGGCTCAGGGAAAACCATAATTGACACTGAGCGTTCTCTCGCGTCGCAAACAGGTCCACAGCTGCTTTGCCAAACTTCTGCCACGTCTGAAACATCAGGTCTGGATGGAGGGTCCAGTCCGCGTGACGTGGGCCGCCCCTGGACATCACATCTGCCCCTCTGTTCAGGACACCGGGTATGTAAACCGCTCTGATGGAGAGCAGGTTTTGGTGAGCCCAACACAGTAGCTTTCGCGCAATGTGTAACATCTGGGCTGAACGCACACCCCCCTGGCGGTTTATGTACGCAGCAGTCACCATGTTGTCTGTGTGAATCAACACGTGTTGATTCTGTAGCACGGGAGCAAA